AAAAAAAGCTAATTCTTTATCACTTTTATGGATTAACTAACATCACATTTTTAATTATAGGAACTCAATGCTTAATAATTATCAAATTGCAAATTGCGTGAAACACTTTTTTGCTCTACAAACTTGGAGTTTTCTTTTGAACTTTTCTTTTTTTTAGCGAGACCCTTACAATTTTCATTAATTTCTTCTTCAATGGAAATCTNTCTCTTATTNTTCCGAGTGCAGACAGTCTTCTCAAATGTTTCACCATTTGCTTCCAATAAATTCTTGACTTTTTTAGACTGGTTTGACTTTTTAGACGGCTTTTTAGGCTTGNTGGATTTGTTCGCCTTATCAGCTTTTTCGTTTTCTTTTTTGATGACTAAATTCTTCTCAGGAGTGTCAGTCACAATCTTACTTCGGCCTTTTTCTCTTTTTTGTCGATTCGCTTTGCGCGGAGCTGCTTTAGGAAATGCAACAATGTCTTCCGGCAGAATGAATTGTTTACCTGGCAATTGATAGGTAGATTGAGCGGTTTCATTCACTCCGGCATCCAGTGAAGATGAAGCGTCAGGCTCGTTTCCGTTAGTAGGCCTTGGTAAAAGTGCTTGAGTTGTTGGACTAGACTCTGAATTGTCTGGAATATTTTGACTAGTAGACACTGATTCACTCGCATTTTCCACTGGGCGATCAGTAACGTAAGAACCCAAAAAGTCGCCGTCGGTGAAAATGTGTCGATTGAACGGATAAATTCCAGATTTAGAGAAGCCGCTCTTAATGTTCTTGGGAGTCATTGCTTCGTCAGCAGCTTTATGAACTATAGATGNAATTTTATAGATGTCGATAGGCACACCTGGCTGTTGTTTCATCAAACTATCGCACTCTCCATTATAAGCTGTTTTGAAAGGGCTATAAACTGAAACGTCCAAAGGTTGTAGGCGATTACTGCAGTGTGGTGGAAGAGTCAAAAGGATAACACCATTGTCAACAGCCTTCTCTATTACAGCTGATGAGACGTGGCTCTCGTGGTTGTCCATAATTAACAATTGATGGTTCTCTTGAGAAGAATTAGTGTGTTGAATAAAATGATCCAAGACCTTGGAAAACAAANTTGATGTCATCCAACCAGATGGATTGGCCAAGCCCAATGTTCCTGGAATACACCCTGTCAGCATGTGATCTTTGAAATACACTCTTGGAAAGACCATTGCTGGCGGCAAACAAGTACCAGATGCACTAACAATGAAGCAAGACGTAACAGTAATCCCTCGTTCTCCGCTGGTAGCTTTATAGACTTGTTTAACGCCTCTTTCTGCAAGTACATTTTTTGGAGCTTGAACAGTGCAGGTTGACGTTTCGTCTAAATTCCAAATCCTATGTCCATTGGTAAATAATTCCGGCCACCTTTCCTTGATTGTCTCCAAGTTGTCAAAAAAGACACCAACATTGTGTTTGTTGAAAGATGTCAGTCGGGATAAGCTACAAGCTTCTGGTTTACGGAGGCTCACTGTTGGATTGCGTCTTATGAACCCTTTGAACCAATCTTCAGCTGCTTTGTTGTCTGCCCAAGACTTTGGTATCTTCTTCTGATTCTTCTCCGCAAAACTAAGAACCAATGCCAGAAAATCTTTCTTGGGTAATCCAAATGCCATTTGACTGCACCGAATTAAATACTGCGCCAACGCTGCCTCTTCTTTTTCCGTAAAGACTTTTCTGTTTGAGTAATTTGGAGACATTTGCATTGGCTTGTCTGGATCTTCTTTGCATATTTTCACATAACGAGCCAAAGTTTGGAACTTGATGTTGTAGTACTGAGCTGATTTTCGAACAGAAATTCCTCCTTTCATGACTGCATGAACTGCCATTTTCATATCATCATCAGTAAATTTTGCGCGTTGTCNTTCCTTTTTTGGTCGCATCTGAAAATTATATTTAATTGTTTAAACAATGTAATTTTTTAAAATATTAAAAGTTGCTTCATGCGGGAAAAAATTTGTTGAATTTAACAATTCCTACAATAATTATTATAGATGTATTTTCTTTT